TTGACTGTTCTGTTATTGTTTTTTTTTTTTTTTCTGGTTTTAGACACTAGATTATCTTTGAAATACAAACACAGAAGATCAGCAAATAAGAAAACAAAATGTTTACTTAGCCAATTCCCATTTGGCGATGCTTTGTGTAGATCTACTTCTGCCGATTCCCACGTAGAGATGCTCTACATACCTTTGTGTAGATCTGCTTACATAATTTTTGGTAGAATTTTTTCCTTTTTGAAGAATATCTATTATTATTTCTTTTAGGGTTTATTTTTGTTATTATTTTTAATTGAGTTGTTGGGAGTGCCCTCATAACCCAGAAAGAAGCATCAGATCCCCAGTAGCTGGAGGGTACTGGGACCTGTACCTGGGTCCCCAGCTAAAGCAGCACACATTAACTGCCCAGTCCTCTTTGCAGCCCACAATTAGCATTTCTTACAGTACCGTTCTGCTAGTACTGAAATCTTTCAGTTTTGTATATCTGGAAATACTTTTATTTTACCTTTGGTTTTGGAAGCATAAAGAATTCCAGAGCAACACTGTTCCTAAAATGCTATTTCTGTCACTTGTGTTAAGATTTAAAAATACTGTGCACGTATGCCTCTATGTGCACATGAGGGCAGGTAACTGTGGAGGCCAAAAGAGGGTGTTAGATCCCCTGGAGCTGGAGTTATAGGTGTCTGTGAGCAGCCAGTTGGGGATCCTGGGAACCAAAGAGGAACCCTTTGCAAAAGCAGCAAGTGGCCGATCCAACTCTCCAGCCCCTATTTCTCTGTCCCTTGACTTGGATTTGAAAACAGGAATGTTCTGTTATCTTTATCTTTGAATATAAAGTCATCCCCTCCCCTTCCCTACAGCTTTTTGTTGTTGTTTTTCCATTTTTTCTGCTCTGGGTGTGGTGGTATTTGTCTGATCATTCCCAGTTACTCCAAACACTGACAAAGGCCAGTGACTTGAGCCAGTAGGCAATAGAGCCAGGCAGAAGAAGAAAACCTGGGCATGGTGGCACACTGCTCAGGAAGCTGAGGCAGGAGGATCATGGGCTTGAGGGCAGCTTGAACTAAGTAGCAACATCTTGTTTCAAAAAAAAGGAAAGGAAAGGAGAGAAAGGGAATGGAAAGGAGAGAAAAGGAAAGGGAAGGGAAGAGGAGGGGAGGGGAGGGGAGGAATTCTTCCGGCTCCTCATAGTGTCTGCCACAGCTGCATCAGCTCACTCTGTCGCTGTCCATTTAAACCTGCAATGTCAGCACATCTGCCGCCTTCTCTCTGTGACATTTTCACATCAACAAGGCCATTCAGGCCCAATTAAGACTCTTCTGTGTCCTGCATCTCCTGCTCACCTTTTCCCTCTGAAATTCAGCAACTGTCTTCATGTCTTTGTAGACAGTATCTTTCCTTCATTTCATTTTCCCATCTTTCCAATAGAGTGGTCTTTCTCCTGTTGGAGACCGTATTTTCTTCTTTGCACACTTTACTAATTTTCAATTAGTTATTTTGAGTATTGAACTTTACCTTTGGGTTCTGGTTAGCATTACATTCTTTTTGTTGTCACCCCCCCCCCCATTATGAGTTTTCACATTGGTGATAGTGGTGGCAATGGTGTGGAGGAGGTAGCCAAAGTCATGGTCTTGAGTACACTAGGCAAGCACTCTTCCAACTGAACCCGTGCACCCATGCACCCGGCTTCTTTGTAGTACTGAAGACTGAACTATAGGCTTCTTCCACAAGCTGGTGTCAATTACTTCAAATATTCTTGAGCTTTGTGCTAGATTATAGATAAATTATCTAGCAACACTGAGGTAATCTGGGCTTGCCTTTATGTTTTATTTGATTAGCCTGTAGACCTGGGCTCACTTTACCCCATTACTATGGCAACAGCTTTCCCAGTGTGGTGATGTTTTTTTATGATCTAACAAATAAAGCTTGCCTGAAGGTCAGAGTGCAAAGCTAGACACACTAGTTAGCCATAGAGGCCAGGCAATGGTGGCACATACTTTTAATCCCAGTAGGCACACTAGTTAACCACATACTGAAGGGACCATCTCCCCAATTTGACAGCCATAACAGTCTAACACAGGCTTGCCTGACCTTGCCTTAGTCACTAGGAGGTCAGATGCCTGCTTCATGGCAAGGAACCAATCAGAAGTTAGCTGATGGTGCTATGCTTTACTGCTCTGGGTGTGCTTTACGGACAAGTGCAAAGCAATGACGTGCAGAGCATAGCAACCACCCTGGGAGGGCCTATGGGCCATTACAACGAGTTGACCAATCAACACAGAGCAAGTCCTCCAAGCCTGGAGGCACACCAATCCTGAGCCTGTGTATACCCCTAGATACTCCCCTTAGGCTGTCCTATAAGATCTCTGTCCCGTGGTTTCTCAGGGTCTTTTCCTAGCCATCTGCCATGGTGGATGGATGAAAGGCCAGAGCTAATGGGGTTAGCTCATTAAACAACTGCAATAAAGCCTCTTGCCTTTTGCATCAAGTCCTCACCTCCGCCTGGTGATTGGGATCGTCAAATTCCCTAGTGGTCACCCTGGGGTCCCACCCCATGGGGGGTCTTTCAATACCTAGTTAAGAGCTAAGCCACTAGTAAGCCATAGAGGACAGGCAGTAGTGGCCACACCTTTAATCCCAGCACTCGGGAGTCAGAGGCAGATGAATCTCTGTGAGTTCAATGCTACCCTGGGCTACATGAGAATGAATCAGTCTAAAAGAGAAACAGAGCTCACACCTTTGATCCCAGCACTTGGGATGGTATGCCTTTAATCCCAGCATTAGAGAGGAATATAAAACAGGAGCTCAGTGCAGTCTAGACTGAGGAGCTGTGCAGTCTGGAGATGAAATCTGAGGACAGGATCACCCTTTTGATCTGAGCATTGGTAGAGATGAGAACTCTCTAGTGGCTGGCCGCTTTGCTTCTCTGATCTTGAGCTTTAACCCCAATATCTGTCTCTGGGTTTTTAATATCCATGCTACATCCCAGTGTTTTCTTATCCTACTGTCCAGGATATTACAAGGTTTTCCATCCAACCGGTGAGAATGCAAGGTGTGTCTCACTCAGACTGGGAGAACTTCAGAGATCATGTCCCTCCCTCCTTCCTTCATGTTTCCAGGTTAGCACTCAACCAAAGCCTTAAAGAGTGCCACCTGCAGGCCACAGATGCTGTGTGCAGCCCCTTTCCTCTCAAGCACTCCCCACCACTCTCTGATAGCATCCTAGCTATCAATATTCTCTCCCAGTTCACCGGGAGATGACAAAATCTAAGTGCAAACACTTGGGAGCTCCTATAATCACAGAGTAATTTAAAAATCAGTCAAAACATAAGCCAGGACTCATGTTTTGCCCTTTTCATAGTAATTTTCTGTTATTATACGGAATTGGGGACAGGGGTGTAACTGAAAGTGTTAGCACACTTACCTAGCATGGGCAATGCTCTGGGTTTGATTGCCAGTTTCAAAAAACCATGTTTAAAAGCCCTACCTAGCCGGGCAGTGGTGGCATACGCCTTTAATCCCAGCACTTGGGAGGCAGAAGCAGGCGGATCTCTGTGAGTTCGAGACCAGCCTGGTCTACAAGAGCTAGTTCCAGAACAGGCGCCAAAGCCCCAGAGAAACCCTGTCTCAAAAAAAGAAGCAAACAAATAAAAGCCCTACATATTCGCATTGTGTCACTATTTTCAAAACTGTATACCTAGCATGCACATTGGGTTAGGTAGTATAACTGTGACAACTGTATACCTAGCATGCACATTGGGTTAGGTAGTATAAGTATCTCAGGGATGGTGTCCAAGTATATGAGAGGCCACACATGGGGTGTAGGTAGATACAGCTCCATTTTATATAAGAGAGATGGCATCCATTGATTTGGAGAGAAGGGGAGGGAAAGAGAGAGAGAGTTGGCACTATTTCTTATGGTCAACAAGGTTATGGTGGCTGTCTTGGAGAGAGGTAGTTCTGCTAATTGTTCTCATCTTCCTTGTATGGTTTTCTTCCATCTAAATGTTGCTCCTATCACCAGATATTGTTTACATTAAAAAAAAAATTGGAAAGCCAAAACATCCACTCAGCTCAGACACTGTTCTCATCTGCCATCTCTGAAGTCAACTCCCTTCCTTTGTCCCTCCCACACCAAGTCAATTTGGGCTCACTTCATCTTAAAGATGCCCTTGCCTCAGTCTCTTGGCATTTCAGTCATTCCTCCCTATGGAAAGTGAGTATGGCCTTCCCACAATACACAATGCACACAGACACGCCCCCGAAGTTGCCTGTGACCGCCACCTTCCTGTGACAACCCAGTTCCCAAAAGAGCCACTGTAGCTCTTCTCTGAAGACCCCAATGTCTTTCCCTTCTGCAGTCTCTCCTGCGTCTCTACCCCTGCACTCTGTAGATCTGTAGATCTGCACCTCTCAGTACAGCACCAACATCGTGAGTTTTCATAATTGGCTTTCTGCCTCTCCCAATGCCATAGATATTTGACTGTAACCTAAGTGCTAGTACTGAACAAACAAATGCGTATGTAAAAGTAGATGCTGAAACATTAAATACAGATGATACGTGTTGACCATGTGAAATGCCTGTGTCTGGCCAGAGGAAAGGGAGGAGGGTAAAAACTTTAAAGTTCACTCTTCTTTTTTTGGGTTTTTTGAGACAGGGTTTCTCTGTGTAGCCCTAGATGTCCTGGAACTCGATCTGTAAACCAGGCTGGCCTCGAACTCAAAGATCCGCCTGCCTCTGCCTCATGAGTGCTGGGGTTAAAGGCCTGCGCCACCATGTCCAGCTTCGGAACCACTTTTCAAATCCACTGCCAGGAGCTCATCCAATGAATAATTTATACTCAAGTTAGCAAAAGTTAACTACAGTCAAAATCCATGTAAAATGGAGGAATCGGGAGCGAGGCTGTTCTCCACCCTCTCAATGAAACCGAGGTTTGGCCCTCTTGACCACCACACCGGTTTCACTGTCTTTCTCCCCCAAAGCACAGTGCAGCTGTGCGGTTACTCACTGGAGTTGAGGAGGATCATGGCCTTCACACAGAGATACTCTTTGTGCTGGAGTTTTAACTCACGGAACCTTGACGTCGTCGCCAGGAGCATGTCAAAGATTTCCAGGATCCCTTCTACGCACTTTCCCTCATCCCTGCAAGAGTTCATTTGGGCATTGAAGGAACGCAGAGCATTAGACAGCCATCAAGAGACGACGTCTTAGGTGTCATCTTGTCTATCCTATGACTATATGAGGCATTAGTAAGAGCACACTTAACAATGGGAAGTCGCTAGTACTATGTCCGTATAAAGAAACAAAACATGCTTGGTGCAGGCTCAATGGTGGGACACTTGCCCAGCACTCAAGGCTGTGGAATAAATTCCTTAGCATTGAAGAGGGGCATTTCCTAACACAAGGCATTTCCTAAAACTTCTGAAACATTTTTTTTCAGGCAAAAGTGGGCACTGGGGCTACCTGTTTCCTTCTGCTTCATTACAGAAGGGCTTCTTGGAGACACTGCCACTCCTGTGGCTTATATACAAACCACTGTGGTCAACCAGCCTCGATGGAAATGACTGAGCTTATTAAAAGGGATATCTCACACTCCCATCAGGAAGTACCAACTCGGGAGCCTGCTAGACCCAAATATTTCAAGAAAAACTTTCATATCTTCATACATGTGGCTGAGTTGAGAAACTGGTCTAGAAACCAGGAGACAGTTAAGTGGCGTTTGAAGAAAGCAAAAGTGACACACAGAAATTACAATTGAAGGTGGGTTAGTCAGGGAAAGGAGACAGACAAGGGGACAGGTGGCAATTTCTTTCCTTTGACTGAAGTGGGTTTTTTGTTCATTTAGGTTTTGGGTTTTTTGTTTTGTTTTATTGAGACAGGGTCTTGCAGTGTAGACTTGTATTCAGACTGGTTTATCTCCTGGTCTTCCTACCTCCACCTCTGAAAAACTGAAATTACAGATGTGTGCCCCAACACCCAGCCTGAAGATGGCTTTTAAACAAAGGTTATGGACAAACCTTTAACTGTGCTTTATAGGAACAAACTGTTATGTCTACCTTTGCGATGCATTATTATACATGAACTAGAAAGCACCGGTTTTGATTCACACCAGCCAGAGACTCCACCTCACTGCTCACAAAAACTGGCCATTCCCTTCGGTGACAGAGCTACTGGAGGGTTGTGACCAGCAGCTAGATGATTTTGCCACAAAAGCCCTTCCAGTTCCTGAGAGCCTGCCGGACACAGCAGTGAGCACCACGGCAGACATGGGCGCCTGTGGGGTCTACTTTTAATCTCTTACTACACTATGAAGGGTTGTTGAAGTAAAACAATAGCAAACAAAAACCTGACTGTTCACTGTCGCCTCTCACCCCCAAACCAGGTCATTTCCCTTGAATGTGGCATTTCAGGAGAGAACCCTTGTAGAAGTCATGTGAACTGACACCACTGGATACTACCGATCTTTCCTTCAAGTGTTTAACAACAGCAACTCGTCAGGACCCTGTATTCCACAGCATTCAGAGTCCACAGACTCACACACACACAGCCACAAGCACACAGCTGCTCACTTTGGCGGATCAGCATGGGAACTTCTGAAAACAGTTGCCTCTTTCGGCCAGCGTGGAGCTAAGTGACAAAACATCAGTGTTCCCTAGAACTAACTCACAGGTGTTTTGCCTGCATGTATGCCTATTTTAGGGTGTTGGAACACCTGGAACTAGAGTTACAGACAGCTGTCATGTGGATGCTGAGAATTGAACTCTGGTCTTCTAGAAGAACAGCCAATGCTCTTAACCACTGAGCCATCTCTCCAGCTCTGAACTAACTCACAGGTAAAAGAACATCTTGGAGAATCAGAGACCTGGGCAAAGAGGACCAAAGTCTATGCAAACCCTGCTACTTCATATACCCTATCTTCACACTGCCCCAAACCTCCTCCTCAGCTCTGAATTCCTGTAAGGGTGGCAGAAGCCCTGAACATAGCTAGGGGAAGAGGAAGTACCTGTGCACCGAATGCCCCTTGTGACTTAATTGTCATTCCACTCTGTCTACCGAAGGGTCATTGCTTGGAATTATAAGTGCTGAGCTTCAAGATATTTGATACCCAGAGAAGCTGATCTGAATGCATCACCAAAGAGGAAACAGACAGACACTAAATCTTGCACTGACGTTTTCATTTCATTTTGTTTATTTTGCTTTTTTGAGACAGAGTCTAATTACGTAGCCCAGGCTAGCTCCAAACTTGTGACCCTCCTATCTCTGCCTTTCCATGACTAGTAGGTGTGGCTACCATGCCCAACTGTGAATTGATGGTTTAATAGTTTGACTCTTTATTCTTCTGTAAAATTCAAAATTAAGTGGAGCTATGTAATTATGAGTCGCGCGTGCACATTCTCGAGCATGTGGACACACACACACACACACACACACACACACACACACACACACACACTCTCCCCCAAAGGATAAGTCAACTCAGCTGAAATCAATCCTATTTTCCAGAAGTTGCCACCTATGCCAAAGAAAAGGCACTAAATATCAGGACTAGTACCCATTTCCACATTGAAAACATTGCAAACTAATAAAAATTAATACTTCAAAATTGAGTTGTTTAGGTATTGGGGCATCTGGAGCCCCAGTAAATGTTGCAACTTCAAGTAATCCACACATGTACCTCATAGAAAAAGTCACACTCTAAATGATCCTAAAGAGCCAGACCTGGCTGTTTCCTTCCTAACACGTGGGACAGGCAACTGTTTCATCTCATTCAGGCTTCAAGTACCTCCAATGACATCATAGACTACAAAATGCAAATACAGATTTAGGAAATAAATGAGTATGTAGGGACATAGAGTGACTCTTAATAACATCCTGCTTTGAAATGAGTCATGCCGAATAGAATGAGGAAGGACTGTTACAAACTGAGGTCCACGCCATTCACTTATAATTAGGGATTGAAACTGAGTTATGAGTAAGAATATAGGATGGAAAATGAGAGATTAAAGATAGAGATGCAATTGGAGTGTTAACATAGGAAACAACACAGCACTCAGGTCAAGCTATTTATACAAGTACACTTCAAGCTAGAGGCAAATAAAGATTAAATTAGTAGTTGCCATGTGGAGTAACTTCTTACTTGAATGCTTTTTCATAAAAAAGTATCCTGTTTTGATACAATGGCAAAATATTGAGTGGCCTTGCCCTGATTTGGCATTGCCTATTTTCCATCTGCATCTATATCTGATGGGTTCCACACTAGTTTATCTCTGTAGGTGTGGCAACTGGACAAGGGCAAGGGGCCCAATTGATGGCTTAGCACATGGGAGGGGCTTCATAAAAACTGAACTAAAATGAAATTACTTAACTACAAAGGGTAAATTAAAATTTAGGAGTAACAGCCTATGATCTTCAAGAATATTCAGCATATCAATACTGAGTGTGAATGCAGCCCCTAAGAACACTCATAGTCATAGGAGTCTGGAGAAGCCTGTCAGTGTTCATAGTGCAGCCCCAGCCCAGCTCCAAATGTCCAGTAACAGCTCTGTTGACAGTTTCCTGTTGATGCTGACACAAAGGTGTCAGCATACATTTTTTAATTTAAATGGCATCATGTGTGTGCATGTCTCTCTCTCTCTCTCTCTCTCTCTCTCTCTCTCTCTCTCTCTGTGTGTGTGTGTGTGTGTGTGTGTGTGTGTGTGTGTGTGTATGTGTGTGTGTGTGTTGTAGTTAAAGGTCAGAATCATTTTGTGTAGTCAGTGCTCTCCTTTCACCGTGTGGATCTTAGGGATCAAACTCAGGTCACAGTCTTGATGAAAAGCTCCTCTACCCACTGAGCCATCTTGCCAGCCACATATGCATTTTTGGGCAAATAGAAGCTCAGGTTCCACACTAGATCTTCACATGAATTTATGTTTCTAATGGATGCCAAAAGAACTACCTCGTTACAAATAACCCCAAATCACTGGGTTTTCCCTTCAGCCTCAGTACATTCAAGGTTGTTTCGTTTTGTTTTCTGTAGAAATCTCAGTAAGAACAAATGGAAACAGGTAGGGGGTTTAGCTCAGTGGCCAAGTGTCTACTTAGCAAACTCAAGGCTCTTTTGGTTTTGTATCCAGCACCAAAAATAAACAAAAACCAAAATCACAACAATAAAAAGTGTTTAGTCGCCAGGCGTTGGTGGCGCACGCCTTTAATCCCAGCACTCGGGAGGCAGAGGCGGAAGATCTCTGTGAGTTCGAGACCAGCCTGGTCTCCAAGAGCTAGTTCCAGGACAGCCTCCAAAGCCCCAGAGAAACCCTGTCTCGGGGAAAAAAAAAAAAAGTGTTTAGTGCTTGTATTCACGTGAAACACCATGTGAGGAAGCTCTGACATGTCAGCGGTGGGAGTGGGGGCGTGACACACCCATACTCAGAGAAGGGGAGAGTTAAATTTACTCCTGTACATGGTCTCCAGTTACTGACTCAGCTACTGAAACACTAGATTTGGCATCCATCCAGAAACTGAAACAAAAAGTAAAATATTTTTAGCCCCACTATGCACCAACGGGTGGAACAGCTAGCGTAGTAGAATTACATGTAGATGTTTATTATATGTGTTTGTGAAGCAGAATGGATGAGTGAGGCAATTGCCTGGCCAGCCTTTCAGTTTGACTGACAGCCCTGAGGTGCAGTAGGAGTGTGTTTCTGAAGAGGGTAGAAATAGACCCAGTCATGGGGCTATGTTCTAAGGTAAAAGAATAAATTATGAAGTCGCTTTGCCTTTGGCCTTCTCTTTCCCCTTCTGATTCTCTTTCCCACGGGGGTAATGTGCTATGTGTATGGACTTTAGAACCAGATGCCCACACCTCCACTATCACTTACTACCCTGCCTGTAAATCAGTTACCTCACTTCCCATTTCCCTAACTGAAGACCTGGGATGATGAATGGTGTTCACTCCCAAAGGGCTTTTGGAAAGATTAAGGAAGGCGACACACACCAAGTGCTTAAGATGGTACCTGGCACACACCAGCTAATAAGTTAGCTATGTGACGGTCACTGGAGGGTATGGTACCTGCCCCACTGCTCTGGCCTTCCAGAGCCTCCCTCTCTCGGTCACCACTTGGGCTTGTTCCTGCTCAAGCCACATCCCATGCTTCAGCTCTTCCCACAGGATTTGTTCTCCACCAAAACACCTCCATTACTCAGAGCAGTGCTCTCTGTCAGTGCCATCCATGACAACAGGCAGAATGGATGCTGATACCTTGGGGCAGCACTCTTCATCTGCGCAACGTGCCAGTGAGGGTCTTCTGATGACCTACAGTGGTAACAGGATTATGATGCAAGAGTTGGGGTGGGCACTTTAGGTTCACAGCACCAGGCATCCTCCTGATCTTGTGCCCAGTCTAACGTGCTGAACACTTAACACTAGTCCTTTTTCCATGGAGATTGTTTTCAAACCTCTCAAAGGTACACCAAAAATTTTCTATTTTTTCCTATAACAAAGCTCGACTGTTATTGAACATTCCAGTTTTATCTTCCATAAGCAGTTCAGCTAAATCAAAGCTTAGTTCCTACTCTCTGCCATCTTTAAAAGAAAACTAGGTGCAACCACTCTGTGACATCCTATCACGACCCAAAGCACTGTCATGTCCCAATGTCTGCTAACTTTCATTTGGCCTTAGAAACGAGCCCTCCCACCACATGTTCCAAAAATGCTACTAGAGATTAATGATACTATCGGCATTAAAGCTATAGCCAATGAAAATAAATTTGGAAGGGTCATAAGCATTTTATCACCAGTCCAGAGATGCAACTCATCACTCAGAGCAGGGCAACTCAAGAATATAATGTGAGAACAGAATGTTTAATGCAAAAACACAAAAATCTATGTTGACTGTGCACTCAGTGGCCATTACCCTGCAGGGTGCAGTTCCCTGGCCTGTGACTGTTGGTGCACCATTGATTAGAAGGGATTGTGGAAAATGAATCCTGGTACCCAAGCCCTCTTCTCCATGGGCTCTTGACCCAGTGAAGGAGTGGATGGTGTTATAGTCCTCTAATTGCCCTTTCAGGTGTGAGAATTTAATTACAGCACCTAGGACTTGGCTCCCACTCACTTTGCTTAGTCCAACAGATCTGAGATGAAATGCAAAGTATTTATTTCTCACCTGTCCAGAACGAGGTCTGGAGCAAAGATGAGCTTGCCAGGGTGGTCGATTGAGCGCCACATCAGCCCCACCATTAACACCTCCATCCAGCAGCTTTCCAAGAGCCGAACTTGGTCCAACAGGCTGAGCTCCACAAAGCCTGGGGAAACAAGAGTCCATGAAACAAACACACCTCCCCCTCTGTAAGGGAAACACCAATGACTGGAGCCCCTACATTCTATACTCTTGCTTTTGGGATAATTGTTGTTAACCTCTCCCCAGACCCCTCAGCAATCCGTTTCTGTAAAGACAGAATGGCAAGTTATTAAACACTAAGGAAACTCAGACAACAAAGGAAAGTAATCAACCAGTATTTCAAAGAGGCGATTAAATGTTGGTTAAAGGAACCTCAGATGTGCAACTTGCAGCTTCCAGCCTCCGACCTCTCCAGAAAATAAACAAACTCTGTTTAATATTTCTAAAGAATCATTGGCTCCCAAGATAGATGCTAGAAAGGGCCCAAAAGGCAGAGCTAGGCTTGTTAGCTGTGACTATACTTTCCTAATAATTCCTGCGCCCTGCTGAGGAAGCCAAAGCACAGCTATCAGAGAGGCTGTCTGTCTGTCCCAATCCATGGTTTGGAGGGTGGATGGATGGAGTAGGTAGAGTCTAGATGACTGGGGGTAGAAGGTAAAGCAGAGAGCAGTGCCAGCCTCTACAGAAAGCCAAGGCTTCAACTAAAATAGGTTTCCTGACTGATGAACATTCCCCATGCAAAGTTCTGTCTGTTCTGGGAAGGGTGCTGTCTCTAGGTGCTTCTATCCTAAAGAGCAAAGATAACAACTGAAGCAGTTGATACTCTAATGGCATGAATTAGCCACAGCACTGGAAGGTAACACAGAATCCCTAGGGAGTGAATGCCTTTAGCACAAGGACAAGGACATAGGAACTTCTTTCCATAACGCACACTAATAAGAGGGGGCTGTGAACACAGTAGCCAAAGTACAGCCTTGGAGTGAAATGGATTCTGGTTTTGAATACCAGCTTAGTCCCTTTCTAATGAGAGAGAGAGAGAGAGAGAGAGAGAGAGAGAGAGAGAGAGTTGTGCACACTAGGGAGCAAAGCCAGGGCCTTGAGCTTGCTAGGCAAGTGCTCTACCACTAAACTCCATCCCTAACTCCTCTCCCCCAGCTAAATTAGTCTCTTGTCAAACCTGTTTTTCTTCTAGGAAAAATGGAAGTGATCTTGCCTCCCTCTGAGAATTTCCTATAGGTAAGATCGCTTATAAATGTTTACCAGTGTTACTACAATGCAATACCACACATGCTCAAATCTTTGGATAAAGGTACTGTAAATGTGCACAACAGAGAAGTGCATGGAGCATGAATGTAAACATGGACAAACCCAGAGCCAGGGAGATGGCTCAGTCAGTAAAGTACTTGCTAGGACTGGAGTCTAATCCTCAGGACCCATGTAGCAGCCACCTATAATCCCAACATTAGAGAGAAAGAAACAGAAAGATCTCTGGGGCTCACTGGCCAGCCAGTCTAGCCAATCAATGAACTCCGAGTTCAGTGAGAGCACCTGTACCAAATTATAAGAAGGCAACCAATTGAGAAGACACCAGTATCAACCCCTGGCCTCTAGACTCTCACATGCAGGCATGCACACACACAAGCACATATATCCACCACACACAGACAAATCCTTCCAGAACCACATGCTTATGCTCAGTTCAGATCCTTGTAAATGTACAGTTCCAATCTCACAGTCATATGTAAGACACCTGCAAATCTTTCAAAATGCTAGGCATGAAGAAAGATTAGCTGGGGGATGGGGGAAGCCAAATAGCTTCCCGAGGTCAGGAATCTCATCTTCATTTTTGCTGTGAGATCCTGCAACTGGTGTTTGGGAAACACTCGAAATAAAAACTAGAGGAAAGTGCATCAGTGTTTTTCTTCTCTGGGAAACAGCAGACAAAATGAAATAGTTCTGGCAAAGGTGGAGACACCAGACAAAACAAAGCTGGGAAGCAGAAGCCCTCCAGAAAGCACAGACAAAATGGGGCCAGCCAGCAACAGCCACCAGAGGCCCTTGCACCAGGGGCCGTGGCTCCCATGGCTCGTTATCCATCTACTCATCTACTTTACCACAGATACTACCCCCACTGCCCCAGGGCCAAGGGAACCTAGCTTAGAATTCGTAGAGAGACTATTTCTTAGATGGTTGGAAAAGAAGTGGATGGCCCACCCTATGAGACTCTCTTCTCAAAAAAGAACAAGATGTAGGGCTGCACCATGTGTCAGTCAGTAAAAATGCTTTTCATGCAAGCCTGACGACGTGACTTTGATCCCTGGTGGAAGGTGGAAGCAGAGAACTGACTCCTGAAACTTGTTCTCTGACCTCCGCACATGTACCGTGGTGCACGAGCAGTCAGACACACACGTCTACATGCACAATGCACCGATGATAATCATAACAATAGTAATGATAAACAAATACTTACAATAATAGTTTAAAATAGGTGCATTTAATAAACTTAACCTATTCAACATCACAGCTCGGGCTAGCTTACCTTAAGCATACTTAGAACACTTGGGTCAGCTTACAGTTTGGCAAAACCATTTAGTACAAGGCCTGTTTTGTAATAAAGCATCAAATACTCAAGTGATCTCTTGACTCTTACACTGAAGGAGAAAACCAGAGTGAGTAAAAGTGCGTACTTTCAACCGCCACCCCACAGTGAAGAACTGTGAGCTAAACCATCCTGATTTGGGGACTAGGTACAAATGGGCTTAGGGAAATATAGGATGAAAAAGTGCATTTTCTGCAGGACCCCATTTTGATAGCAGGAAGATTTACTGACCCATTGGTTCACAATGCTTCAACTGATGATTTATCTATTTGTATATAACACCAATTCTTTCTTTATTGGAGTGACATTTTATAAATCCCTATTTAGCATCTGACAAGCCGTCTATTTCCACACTGTGACATTGGCTCTATCTTTTCCTGACCTGCCATTCCCTTCCTCACAAGCTGACAAGTCAACAGCCAAGAGACTGATCAACATGGAGCCCACATTTCTACCTTTTATCCAGGCCCCAAGACCCTAGACTCGCCCAGGTGACCCTAACTCCAGTTCCAAAGCCTGCATATGTTCCTTCTCAGATTTTATCACAGACCACATCTGGGCACAAGAGGTAAGCAACAGGCATTGTCTGCAGGAGACATGAACATCAGAGTGATACAGTGTGTGCAGGATGGATATAGAAGTCAAAAATGAATAGAGTCAGATATAGGAAGAGGCTCTATACAATGCTTCCTGAACTACTCTATCTGCTATAAGACTTAGGAGTCCGGGAACTCTAAACAGAATCTAACCTTCCAGGACATATTGAGGTTATATATGTCAAGACAGGAAGAAAACCCACCATCGTTAAAAGTTACAAATTTTGCTGAGAAGTTAAGAGCATGTACCGCTCTTGCAAAGTACCCAAGTTCAATTCCTAACACCTAGGCTGAGTTCAATTCCCAGCATCCACACTGGACAGCTCACTATTATTACCTGCAATTCCAGCTTCAGGGCATCTGACATCTCTGGCTTCCTTGGTCACCTACAGTTATGTTCACATATCTCCATACAGGCATGCACATATACACAAAATCAACATTGAATTTAAAAAAAAATCTTATAAATAAAAGGCTACAAAACATTTACAAAGGTACAGCTTTTATTACAAAAAGGAATTTTTCTCTAACTAAAGGCAAACTTAACTGCTAAGATACTAAACAGACAGCCCTCAAATGCTCAGAGATCTAGAGAATATGGCATTTAAAATGTTTTGTTAAAAAGCTTTTTGTAACAGAGAGATAGGCCAGCTGCTGGTCCCACCCCATTTCCTCCGAGAAGACTGGGCACTGAAGAAACTTCATCTCGGGTCAGTGACAACGCTGGTCACTGAGCAACCCTGCCCTTCACCTCAACTGGTACAAAGTATTCCAGACCATGGACAAGAGGACAACGGAATCGACTTTCCCGGCGTTGCTTGGGCCAACGGTAGGCGAGTCTTCCCAAAGTCTCTAATCCACAGGTTTCAGAAGAAAAAGGCTCAATTTCTACAAGGCTGATTTAAACTCTCCTGCTTCTAATTACACCCTGCTGATCAATTTCCTAAGTATCCCACAATAACTCACTTAAAACTCTTAATCCAACCTATTAGCTGTTGTTACAGGAATGCCAGCCTAAAAGCCATGGATCTAAAGATGCAAGGACCACCAAATGTTTGTGCCTTCTGGGTAAAGGTAACCAGAAAGATTCCATACCACCTAGATATGATCTAATGTGTCTAATCTTTATGTTTTCACAAACTTTAAGGACTCTTATAAGTTCCAGGGAGCCAAATCAGATCAAAACAGGTCAGATTCACTCCAGGTAATATCCAACCCTTCCCCAGTCCCAATTTCCCTTTCCTCATCTTGGGACACCTTGGGAACCCCTCCCTCATCTTACAATCTTCCCCTCAAGTGACAGGACCTAAGAAAATTTTTTTTTCTAATCTCAACCTTGTCTTCTGCTCTGTCAACATCTTGCCAGGTCTAAGAGGCGCCAGGGAGTTGCATACAGCCTGGACTACAATGAAACAACCAGCTTCCCCAGGACGTG